ACAGCATTGTGAGCAATCAATATCATATCACACTATGCTGGAAATGTCCTATTCACTGAGTTGCACAATAAAAGCTTATTTTGAGTGAAGTCTTAAAGACGAGTTACTTTGGACTAAAAACAAAACCTATTAGAATTATTTGATTGAGAAAGAAAAGTACTAAAATCAGTGTTATCTTTGTAATCCAGGCTGCTGCTGCTGAAGTAACTAGGAATTAAACCCATAAAAGGACTGAACAGACCCTGAAAGTAAAGAATGTGCATGCTACAAAGACTTACAAAGTGTATTCTTAAAAGGAAGAATGGCTCTGTATGTAGGAAGAAACTTGTTTATAATCACAATTTTCTACAAGACCAAGCAAGCCACTTTACTTTCTCAATTCTACCAGAAAATATGAGGAAATAAGGCAACTAACTCCCTTCTGTGCTTTGTTTTTAAATTGGAATCTCAGAGTGTTAAGAGGTGTACTATTTTCTGCTATACTGTATCACAGAATCATAGAATTTAAGGGTTGGAATGGACCTTACAGAACATCTAGTCCCAACCCTCCCTGCTATGGGCAGGGACACCTCCTCACTAGATCAGGTTGCTCAAGGCCTCATCCAGCCTGGTGTTGAATACTGCCAGGGTCATGGCAGCCACCACGTACCTGCTCAACCTGTTCCATTGTCTCACTATCCTTGCAGTAAAAAACTTTTTTCGAATATCTAACCTAAACTTCCCCTCCTTCAATTTGAACCCATTACCCCTTGTCCTATCATTGCAGTTCCTAACAAAGAATCCCTCTCCAGCTCCTTGTAGCCCCTTCAGATATTGAAAAGTTGTCATGAGGTCTCCACACAGTCTTCACCAGGCTGAACAACCTCAACTTCCCCAGACTGTCTTCATAGACAAGATGCTTCAGAACTCTTATCAACTTCATGGCCCTCCTCTGGAGTTGCTCCAACAGTTCCATGCCCTTCTTACGTTGAGGACACCAGAACTGCATGCAGTATTCCAGGTGGGGTTTCATGAGAGCAGAGTAAAGGGGAAGAATCACCTCTTTTGACCTGCTGCCCACACTCCTTTGGATGCAGTCCACGTTTCGACTGGCTCTCTGAGCTGCTTGCACACACATGAAGCAGCCCAGAAACATGGTGAGCTTCTCATCCACTGGCACGCCCAAATCCTCCTCACTGCTGGTTTCAATTACTTTGTCGTGGTTTAATCTTAGCCACCAGCCAAGCCCCATGCAGACACTCAATCACACCCTCACAGGCAGGATGGGGGAGAGAATCAGAAGGGTAAAAGCTAGAAAAACTCATGGGTTGAGGAAAAGATAGTTTAATAGGGAAAGCAAATGCCACACACACAAGCAAAGTGTTGTCAGCGAATTTGCTGAGGGTGCACTCAACCCACTGTCCATGTCGCTGACAAAGCTCTTGAACAGTATCGGCCCCAGCACCAACCCCTGAGGGACACCACTCCTAACTGGCCTCTATGTTGACAATAAGTCGCTGACCACAACTCTCTATGTGAGACCATTCAGCCAGTTCTTTATCCACTGAGTGGTTCACCCATCAAATCCATGTCACTCCAATTTAGAGACAAGGATGTTGTGCGGGACAGTGTCAAACACCTTGCATAAGTCCAGGCAGATGACTGCTCTCCCTCTATCTACAAATTCTGTGGCCTCATCATAGAAGGTCACCAAATTTGTCAGGCATGACTTGCCCTGGAAACATATGTTGGTTATTACCAATCACTTCTTTGCCTTTCATGTGCCTAAGCATAGCTTCCAGGAGAATATGCTCCGCGATCTTGCCAGGCACAGAGGTTTCTATAGATCCCTGGTTTTCTGCTTTCCCTTTTTTGAAAATGGGGGTGAGGTTTCCCTTTTTCCAGTTGTCAAGCATTTCATCTGACTGCCAGGATTTCTGGAAAATTGTAAATAGTGTCTTAGCAACTTCATCAGCCAGTTCCCTCAGGATCCACGGATGAATCTCATCAGTATCCATGGACTTATGCACATTCACATTCCTTAGGTGGTCTTGAACCTGATCCTCTTCTACAGTGGGTTTAGGAGTTTCATCCTTCCAGTCTCCACTTTTACCATTTTTGGTCTGCTCAGAGTGACTAGTGCACTTGGAATTGAAGACTGAGGAAAAGAAGTCATTAAGAACCTCAGCCTTTTCCATATCCAGGGTAGCCAGTTCTCCTCTTTCCTTCCGGAAAGAGCCCACATTATCTCTAGCCTTCCTTTTACATGCAGCATACCTGTAAAAGCCTTTCTTGTTATCCTTAGTGTCCCTGCTTTTACAGTACTGGAGTAAAACATGTCACTTAGTCATTGATCTATGACAAATAGCAAGCAAGAGTAATATTTTCTTTAACTTGGTCAGTTGTCTTTATGGCTCTGAAGAAAGCCCTTGGGATTCCCAAAGGCTGACTAATTTGGATGGATTGGTAAATATAATATGACCTCAAGAGCCACACAGGCCTGGCAAGGGCCAAAGAATTATCAGAGGTGCACCTCTTCTGGGCACGCCTAACTTGCCAAGAAGCACATGGAGGCAACATGGACTGTGGCGTGTGCGCCAGTGGCAATAGCTTCCCCCGCTCCTTCTCTGTCTCTCCAAATCCCATGATTATGACAGTTTCTAGTGTCTCTCTGATGGTGGAAAGGTCTGTTTTGATAACTCTTCTGTTCTGATCATAATTTAAGTAGACATAGTGCATATAGGCATGAATACGCATTGATGTCAGAGTTCGACAAGTCTTTTACTATTGGTTACTTTTTTCCCCTCGCATAATCCTCTGTGGCCTTTGTTTCTTGCTTAATGATGATTCATTTTACATGCTTAGGGTACTATTTACATTTCACTTTCTCGGTTCATTTCACAGCATTCACCTCTAATGAGCCAGTCAATTTAGTACACTTTGATTTTCAAAAAGCTTCCAAAACAGCTTTCTCACCAAATGTTTCTAAAGAAACTGCACACATTGGATAAGAAGGAAAGCCCTTTGAGGCATTAGTAGCTGAGGAAAGCTGGGGGGAAAGGAAGGGAAAACAGCAAGAACAGAAAATTAATTTTTGCAAAGAATGTTGCAAAGGAGATTTAGTGACATGAATGGCCTGCCTCAAGCAGTGTCATATTCCGTTCAACATAGTTATAAGGGATTTGTGGTTTATCAGAGTGTGAAAAGCTTACAGGTATTTCAGTGGACTAATATCTTCATAAAGCAGCCAGATGAGGCAATAAAATGGAAGATGTAATTCTCTATCAGTAAGAACTAAGTAGTATCATTACATGTGTATTAGAGATGGATAAAACCAGAAGTGCTTCAGCATTACATCATGCCATTGATCAATAATTTTATGAAACTATTAGGGGCCAGGGTGTTCAGAAGAACAGCCTGAATTTTGTCTGTCAAAGACAGACAAAATTTTTAACTACATTTTTAACTACTTTTGTCCTTGGTGATGACCCTGTAGTTGTAACCCTACTGATACAAATGTGTCGCCATTAATGGAAAACTTTACCCAAATCAGTTTTCTTAACTTTATATTAAGCTTTTGTCACTTTCTGTCTGATGATCAGAGTAAGTAAAGGTATTTTTTTACTTAACCAGAAAGTTGTCTTTATTTTAAATTTTTGTTTTGTTTTTATATATATAAAATTACCATACAACTTCTTGGTTTCCTGCTAAATCGGAAGGGGGGCTGTTCCCGTTGGCTGGAACACCTGGGAAATCAATGTCTTTTTTTAGCTTTTTCTGTAAAAGAAGGGTCTAGATCCCCTTTAACAGGTGGTGACTACCTGAGAACAGAGGTAGATAGCTTACCAACAGGTGGAAATAAGTAATGGAGGAATAACAATGTTCCAATATTCATTACCAATTTGATGTCCTTTCTCGACTTCTTTGCTCTTGCAATGTTTCCAGAATTTCATGCACTGACACCAAAGACTGTTTATTTGAAACTGATGTGTACATTACACTTCTATAAGAAGACACACCTCTTCTCTGCAATTAGCTATTTCTTCTAGTCATCTGCTGCACAACATCTCCTAACAGTTCATTAGTGACTCAGAATTACTGCTGCAAAGTCCCCTCCTGCTTGCTTGTGTGATAGTACAATTCTTCCTAATGCTATACTTTTACAGTGAATTGCAACGAACTCCAGTTGGATGATTTTCTTCATACTCATTGTAATTCCTTTGATTTAACTGATAATTCAGTCTTTTTCCCCTCTCCACCTTGCTAATGAACATACAGCGAAGAATGGGTTGGACAAATGCAGACAAGAAAAAGTTAATTATGCAGAATTAAAAGGTCATCTCCTCCACTCAAAATTAGCCACTGGTTCTCATGCGGATCGGCTGGGAATGAACCAGAGGTGAGAAAAAAAAATGGCCAGAAAGACAACCAGTGTAAGTAAACTAGTCATGTACTTAAAATCAGAGGATTAATCTTTCTGAGTGACAGTATAGGTTTAAAAGAGAAGAATAATGTGAAAGAGTACGAGAAATCCTGACCCTGTCCTTCAGAAGGTAAGTGATTATTTGAGGTCTGATTTATGTACAACATGCTTATAAGGCTCATCAATAAAAATGTATAGGAGGGAACATATAACAAGGACAGTCTGCAATTCTGAATTTAACAAAGGCATCACAGTACTGTTTAAAAATAAATCACACTTCAAGCTTTGCAATCAGTGTTTTCTTAGGCACTTTTCAGGGTTCATAGTGTTCTAAGGATGAATATTGAATATAATTTCAAGAATAGCATTTAATGAAATTTCTTGGTCATTTATTTTTAAAGAAGGTACAGTAAAGGAACTTTTATTGCTGCCATGTCAAAACTTCTATCAACCATAATGGAAAACCTGTGTATATATTGATTTTCTGCTGCAGACAAAAATTCTATGAGGAATCATTAAGTGAGGGATGGAGAAGAAAGGAAAAGTAACTGGGAGATTTATATATATCAGAGGTGATCTACGTCCATATAGGGCTTACATCTTTGCCGATCAGATCCTCTTGATTTTCCACAATCCCCCAGGGAGCTATACCAATGGTGCAGATCTTCCCCCGAGATTTTGAAGCATGATCTTTCAATGCATCTCCAACGTGACGAATGACTCCTGGGAAAAAAGTAGCATAAAATATAAATTCATAGTTATGTCCTTTTTGTTCTTTGCAATATGGATTTAGCATAGACTTCTCTTTTAGGGAACACCTATGCCTCTACTTACAACCATGCAAAGCTATGAATATCTTCTTCTTTATTATTATTACTTATGTAAATCCATTTTGCTTAATCTAAAAAAATATCAAATGAAGCAATTAAAAAAATACACAATTCTAGAAATAAGAATGGAAATGCTGACAGTTAACTGCAGCGTATTTATCTGTGCTTGTTTTCACACAGACGTGCATACAAGCATTTGTGTATTTCCAAGGATAGAAAGAACACAGGAATTAAGGCCCCCTGCATGCCTCAAACTCCTCCAAAAGTGTAGCTCATGCACTAACGCTCCCATAAAGGACGGAAATGTGAAAACATCATTACACTACTCTGTGATGAAGCTATTA